ACATGGCTACGAGGAGGACGATTGGCCTGGGCAAGCGATATAATGGGCTCTATTACTTGTCGTCAACACAAAATCCTCATTTAGCTCACAATGTCAACCGTCATTCAAACCTTTGGCACCGACGGTTAGGACATCCCTCCACTGGTCCCTTACAACTTTTGACCAAGCAAGTTCCAACTATTATGTTTGATTCTAGCCATTTGTGTGACATTTGTCCCCTTGCTAAACAAACTCGTTTGTCTTTTCCGTCAAGCTTTATTTCATCTCAAGCACCATTTGATTTAATACATTGTGATATTTGGGGACCCCATCAAGTCAATTCTCATTCGGGGGCTAGATATTTTTTGACTATTGTTGATGATTATTCAAGATTTACTTGGATCCATCTTATGCGTTTAAAATCTGAAACACAAGGGTTGTTACGTTCTTTTATTGCTTGGGTTCAAACACAATTCAATCGCATGATCAAGACGATTAGGGCAGATAATGGGGCTGAATTCATTTCTTTACGTTCTTTTTTTGATAGCAAGGGTATTGTGTTTCACACTTCTTGTCCTTCTACTCCCCAACAAAATGGGGTCGTTGAAAGAAAACATCGCCATCTTTTAAATGTTGGGCGAGCACTTCGTTTTCAAGCCAATTTACCTTTAATTTTTTGGGGGGAAAGTGTTCAAACGGCATGTTATTTAATCAATCGCTTACCAACACCACTCCTCCATCACAAAACCCCATTTGAGCTTTTACATTGTACACCTCCAGATTTTCATCACTTGCGTGTGTTTGGTTGCTTATGCTATGCCACAAATCTCACTCCCACACACAAGTTTGATCAACGTGCTCGGAAATGCATATTTGTTGGATATCCTCTTGGTCAAAAGGGGTACCGTGTTTATGATCTCACTACCCACAAATTCTCCACACCCCGTGATGTGATCTTTCATGAGGACACCTTTCCCTTTCCTTCCCAACCCCCAGATCACCAACCTGACAGTGTTGTTCTCCCCCTTCCCCTTGATACTACCATCGACTCACCTGCCCCTACCACCACTACCATCCCCCTTCCATCCCACGACACACCACACGACCCACTGCACGACCCACCACAAGTCACACGCTCTATCCATGCCACCAACCCTTCCTCGGACCCTCTCATCACCGAGCCTGCTCCCTCCCCTCTTCCCCTTGCCATTCGCCACTCCAACCGTCCTCCAAAACCCTCCGTACGACTTCAGGGCTATCATTTATATCATGTACACTCTCTTGCTCCCAGTGCCACCTCCTCTTCCATGTCAGGTACACGTTACCCTTTATCTCACTATGTTTCTTATGCTCATCTTTCTTCTTCACACCGTTCTTTTGCTTGTGTTATTTCCAACATTGTTGAACCCACTACCTTTGAGCAAGCTAATAGTGATCCTGCATGGCAAGCCGCCATGCAAGCTGAACTCCTAGCCTTGGAACAAAATCAGACTTGGACTCTCACTCGTCTCCCTCCCGGGCATCGAGCTATTGGTTGCAAATGGGTTTACAAGGTCAAGTATCATTCAGATGGGTCTGTCGAGCGTTATAAAGCTCGCCTTGTTGCCAAGGGTTTTACACAACGTGAAGGTATCGATTACAAATAGACTTTCACCCCAGTTGCCAAACTTATTACCGTCCGATGTCTTTTGGCCGTAGCTTCTGTTCGTCATTGGTCTCTCCACCAAATGGATGTTCAAAATTCCTTCCTCCATGGAGATCTTGAGGAAGAAGTCTATATGCAACTGCCTCCTGGTCTTCGTCGTCAGGGGGAGCACAATGTATGCCGACTCAACAAGTCACTTTATGGGCTTAAACAAGCCTCTCGAAGCTGGTTTCACAAATTTTCCACTGCTATACACCAAGTTGGGTATCAACAATCCAAGGCCGATTATTCCTTGTTTACCAAGGTACGTGATCACTCATTCACAGCTATACTAATCTACGTCAATGACATGATCATCACAGGCAATGATGAAGAGGCCATTCGTGATCTCAAACAGTTTCTTCACACTCAGTTTCGAATCAAGGATCTGGGACCATTAAAATACTTTCTCGGCATAGAGGTGGCTAGGTCTTCTCAAGGTATTTCTATCTCACAACGGAAATACACGCTTGACATTCTTGATGAAGCCGGCTTACTGGGTGCCAAACCTGCAAAATTTCCCATGGAAGAAAATTTGAAGTTATCTCCAACAGAAGGGCAAGTTCTTCATGATGCCTCGAAGTATAGGAGACTTGTTGGTAAACTTATTTACCTTACTATCACTAGACCGGAAATTTCATATGCAGTTCATGTACTCAGCCAATACATGCAACAACCAAGAAAACCACATTTAGATGCAGTCCATCGTCTCTTGCGATACTTGAAAGGGGCACCTGGACAAGGACTTCTATTTCCTTCGAAGGGGGACCTAATCTTGGCTGGATATTGTGATGTCGATTGGGCTCGATGTTCAATTACAAGGAGATCTGTCACGGGTTATTGCATATTCCTTGGAGGAGCATTGGTATCTTGGAAGACTAAGAAACAAACCACCGTTTCTCGATCTTCAGCAGAAGCAGAGTATCGTGCCATGGCCTCTGCGACGTGTGAGCTTACATGGATGAAATACTTGTTGGCTAACTTACGAGTTGATCATCATGTGCCAGCAAAACTGCATTGTGACAATCAAGCGGCTCTTCATATAGCAGCCAATCCCGTGTTCCACGAGCGTACCAAACACATAGAAATCGATTGCCATGTTGTTCGTGAACGTATTCAATCAGGGGTTATCACGACAGCCTACGTTCGTACTGGAGCACAGTTGGCTGATATATTTACCAAGCCGCTTGGACAAGGGATGTTTCACTCATTACTTGGCAAGATGGGTGTGATTGACATTCACATTCCACCTTGAGGGGGAGTATTAAGCAATTAAAATGCATGAAATAAACATGTTGGAATAATGGTAGGCTAGTCAATTTTCTTGTTCAAAGTTAGGCAAGTTAGGTTAGTCAAGCAAGATAGGTAAGTTAGGCAAAATTAGGCTTATGTTCTTTTTCTTCCCTATATATATGTTTCATCTTGTAATTGTTTCATTAAGCAAATATACAAAACCATCTTCAACACTTCTCTCTCATGGCTTAAACCTTAGAACCCACGAAACCCTAGCAGGTTCATATTTTATCAGGATTTGTTGTATCAGTTTCTTAAACAATAGTCGATATAGGTTTTCAATATTTCGTAAGGAACACGTTGGAATTGTCATATATAATTGCTGAATGGCAGACATTTCGACTATCATGCAATAATTAGGTCTCGTTTGACATGTCGTTTTAGACATCGAATAAAACTATTTAATACAATCAAATGTTTAGTGTGTTTATGTATAAATTAAGAACTGATTCAACTAATCAGTGCCCACCTATTTTAGCATCTACGTCAACTAATTATTTTTATTTGGCAGAAATGATCATTAAATTACTACAAATAATGAGATCACATTGCAAGATGAGACGGAATAGCTAGAAGGAGCAGGTACGTACTATTCCACAAGTCTAATACCAACATATGTGTACGAGCTTGATATAATTGTATTACTTGCATACACAAAAACTAATCACCTTCTTGAACTAGCCCGGGTTTTCACGCATAACTGGAAGCTGGTTCATAGTCCAGCCGTCTACCTTTATAATTAAAGAAAATTAATGAAAATAACTTCAAAATTTTGCATTTTAATAAAAAATTATCTAATAATTTTATTTAATGACAAAGACAAAAAAAAACATAAAATATAAACGTGTGTGCCTAGCGTGTGTTAAATTTCATAAACAATGCAGTAGCGTTAAGTTTCATAAAGAGTAGTATTGTTAAGTTTCATAAACAGTGTAGTACCGCTAAGTTTTATAAACAGTGTAGTACTATTAAGTTTTATAAACAATATAATAAGTTTCATAAACAATATAGTAAGTTTCATAAATAATGTAGTAAATTTCATAAATAGTGTAGTACCATTACATTTCATAAACAGTATAGTACCGTTAAGTTTCATAAACAATGTAGTAAGTTTCATAAACACTGCAGTAAAATTCATAAACAATGTAGTACTGTTAAATTTCATAAACAATATGTGTGAGGATGCGCGGGTCCCGCGCGTTAGTTTTTTCAAGTTCTTTTTAATAATAAAATTATGTCTTTTTCATTAAAATTTAAGTTCTTCTGTCATTTTTATTAAAGTTTAAGGGTTTTTCATTAAAATTTAAGTCTTTTTCATTAAATAAAATTATAGCATGATTTTTGGTTAAAATAAACTTAGCCCAAACCCTTTTCATGAAAGTTCTCTTGTTACTATTGTTTTCTTATTACACATAGCATTTGTGAAGAAGTTGAGGTTTCACCATAAAACCAATTGACAATATGGGGAGTAGCTTAACCTCTTATAAGCTCTTGCAAAATTTATTGTTTTACTAATGTGAGACTCTTTTACCTTCACATTTTCATACGTCCCTTATGTGTGGCGCATTTTTAAGCCAAACACGTGGACAACACGAATTGGGTGACGTGGAGCATGTGTGGTCATTCGACTTCACATGTGGGACAACCTGCTTTGATACCATGAAGAAGTTCAGGTTCTACCATAAAACCAATTGGCAATATCAAAGTAGCTCAACCTCTTATAAGTCCTTGCAAGATTTCTCCTTCTACCATTGTTGGACTCTTTTACTTTCATATTCTCATATTTTAATATACGTCAATATATTATTAATTATCTCAAACTTATGTCCAAGTCATTTGGTTTTAAATTTGAGTGGGGATCCGAATCACGTACATATACGAGCTCCATTGTATGAAAGATTGAACTAGTCTCATTAATATTTGACTTGGCATGCAGTAGTCAGTTCAATGCCAAATTTATATATACTAAAACTCAAACTGATGTGGTACTGTTCTAGAGCAGTAAAATGGCGAAAATGCCATTACAATGCTGTATGGCTGCCTTTTGTTTAGGATTCTCTACAGTAAATATGCATTTTTGCCCTTCCACTCCACCTGTCGACCATCGCAGCGTCTTCTGGCATCTTCTCTTTCTTTTCACTATTTTTCCTTCTGTTGCTTTTCACTTCTTTTCCTCTCCCCTTTTCTCTGTTGTTCTGTCTCCCAGAAACTCTTCGTTCTCCATTTGCCGTTATCATCCAACTCCAAATTAGCTGCTCTTCGTCAACTCCATCTACTTTAATTTTCCTGCATAGCTTTCTCTCTGAAGCTCAAAATTCTTGGCCAAACAGAACAGCGAACTTCCCGATGGTTACCAGCTCCAGTTCAAGGTCGAGAAGCACTCAGACAATGACTTCCCCGACGCCAAGATTTTGTAAGGTCTCAATATCGAACTGGTTTGATTTTTGTGTACTTGATTTAAATTTTTTTGGTGATTTGCTTTTGGCTGTCTGATCTGGTTTGATTTTTGCTTTCAGGAAACGTTGGTCTTCGAATATTGGGGTTTTTGTCTGCAAGCTTGCAAGGCTGCAAGCCCTTTGTGATCAAGTATGTATTTTTTTCTTTGATTAAATGTTTTTGTTTTCAGTTTTGTAAGCATTCATCTTTTACTAATTGTCTAAGAGCTTCCATGGGATCTGCCCTATGTTGTTACTTCGCGGTTACCTCCGTTGGGGTTGAAATTGTAAGTCTGAAAACTAATCAAAGGGTTTTAGAATTTTTTTTTTTTTTTTTTATCGTAAAGGTTTTTAAAAATTCGGATCATGTTTGCATTTTTATCCAATCTCATGCTCTAGCAATGCTTATAAAGATGACTGTTAGATTTTCAAAGGACTCTTGAATGGTAGAAAACGCAAAGGGTCTGCAAGAATTAGTTTTATTTGTTTTGTTATAGGAATTCAAATAATGATAAAAATTCTAACATTTTGTTCCAGAAGTTGCAATTTAATCCTACATCGACAAATTTCTCTGATGGCCACTACTAGAGGTTGACATTCTGATTCGATGGCTACATTGGCAACAAATTTATTGGGAAATGCATCTTCAAAGGTATGCCTTTGGAGCAATTTAAAGGTAGGAATTTTTAATTTTTTGTGAAATGAATGTTTTGTCGTGGAAGGAGTTTATAATAGATTGGTAGGACAAGTACATGGTGTTTGTTTGGTTGAATGTAGAAAGGAATTGGAAGAATTATGAAAGTACTTGCATTTTGTTCCAGGAGTTGGAACTTCAACGTTGCATGGAGGAAATTGTCATAAGTTCGGTGGCCAGAGCTTGACGTTGGCATGACAACAAATTTACTCGCAAATGCATATTCAAAAGTATGCTTTTTTGTTGTTTCTTGGTGAAAGATTGATTAGCGATGATTGCTATTGTTTATTCATGGTTGACTGAGCATTTTTGTTATATGAAACCGTAAAGAACAGTTGCCTCGATGCTAAGTTTTTTTTATATTTCTTGATGCATTTCTATTGATCAGGTATAGATGGACTGGTCAATACGAAGCGCATCTGTGGGACAATAGTTGCAACAAAGAAGGGTAGAGCAGGAAGGGAAGCAAGGTTTGTCAAGAAAACACAATGATGTTTTTAATTACAAGAAATGTGCATTTTTTTCCAGTCAAATTCTGCTTTTGTTCTGACTATTTTCCATACTATATGCTGATTCTATTTTTTAATTTTTGGTTTTTCTTTGATTAGCTGGGGAATTACAATCAAATGATGGATGTTCAGTTTACTTGGGTAAGCATTTTTTGACATATAATTTGGCTTACCATTTTAACTGTCAAAGCATGTTGTTTTAGTTCATGCTACTAATCATGCATTCAATAGATTTATATATACAATAGCGTTTAAATGCTAATTGATTACTAACATAATGCGGTCTTTACAGGAAAAGCAATGGATTCTCAAGAGGGGCCTGAATGTACAGAAGAATTACAAGGTCTTAATAGCTATTCATAATTTTATATAATAATTTAGATAAAATATCGATGAGAAATAATATAAATACCAAATAAAAATCTCTAAAATCTTTTTGTTTTGTTTCTTCTCTGTGTAGCAAACGTCATCAATATGGAAGATGGCTAGCCAGGATTGGAAATGTTGCTGTAAATAAGGATCTCTTGGGACATTCAATGAGTGATTTTTCAAACTTTATTTGCTTTTTGTATCTAAAAAATTTCCTAATATTTTTAATATAATCAGTGAAACCACGATTTCATGTACTAGCTAGCTACTAGGATGCTTGGTTTTTATATGATTCTGATTATTTGATGTATCTGAATAAAGTTTTGTTCAAAGTAGGAAAGTCAATTTAAACTCAACCTTATTTACAAGCTTGAGGAGAGATTTTAGTCTTATAATGATTAATAATAAGATACAATTAGGGTAATACATGTACTGCACATATTGCTAACTATGCTAGACCAAAAGTATCATCATTACTGCTTAAACATACCAATCAGTTTACATTCTGTGAATGCATATGACGACTGAGGGGTTTAACCCTTAATTGCAATCTCATCCTGACCGATGTGTAATTTTGTGTTTACACCATATTAATCAATATTTTTTTCATATGTTTAATCAAACTCTTATTTAATGTACATTTCGCATACACAAACGGGCAAAAACTTCTTGACATCCTATAAAATTGCCAGAAAAAGGTCATTTCCAACTCATGCAAAACCAGACTTATTTCCCGCAAAAAAACACTAGGTAAACACAATCTATCCTTATTTTGTTCATAATATAATTCTATTGTGATACAATTTTGTTTCATGTATTTCAATCCTTTTCTTTTCCCTTTCCTAGGGTACCTCCTTTAAACTACTTTTCCCATTCTTCTTCGGTCAGAAGATGTCTTTTTGCCAGTTCTGAACAAAGGTCATTCCTAACTGTATAATTTTTTTTACCAATGTCCAAATCTTAAACTATTGCATGCTCATGTTTGCCGATCTTTGGACCAATTTCAAACAGTGATGTAGAAGATATCTCAGAAGAAAATGCGCAGGACTTTGACCGAGTTCCTATCAAGCTATTGAAAAAAAGTCATCTCCAATTGCTGCAAAAAACAGATTCCGATTCTTCCAAAAAAGATTAGGTAACTACTCTTTATACTTGCTTTTTGTACAAGTTTTAATTTATCTGTACATAAATTCAACAAATCTATTCTCATTTTCCAATTTTTTAAGAAGCTGTCTATCAAACTGACTACAGTCGAAATTTAAGATTCTTAGCACATGCTTTGTTTTGAAGCTGTCTATCAAACTCACTACTCTTTATAGTTGCCAAATGTTGTTATCTCACTGTCTTTACACAGTTTATTTAATCAGTTTTTTAGTATAAGCAGTGCTGTCCTTGATTAAATAATAATGTCAAACAAAATTAAGAGAAAAATATAACCGCCCAATAAGAATGACTTACCGAATTACATCACAATAACAAAAGGTAAAGAATAAATAAAATGGCAAGTAAATGGTTTATATCAACTGATTGAGCACCTACTTCATATGGGAAGAAGATGTCACAAAGGCAAATCAGGGAACAACAATTACTTCATATGGGAATAAGAGGTTAGTTTAATTGTAATTATTTTTTTATTTGGTCAAATTCGAAGTTGGTTGGCTTGCATCTAATTTGGTCGTTTGCTTGCACAAAGTCACTGGTTTTATTAATGCTGGTGATCATCCAAGTTAATGTGAAAACGATATCATTATTTTGTTATGGTGAGAACTGATTTAAATTAAGAAATTGAGTTACTTTTTTATACCTCTTTTGTGATCATTTACTGAGAATTTGTTAATTGTTTTAATATATATGAGATAGGATTTCTACTTTCATTTCTCATCTTTAGAGATTGCTGAATTTCTACATTCATTTCTCATCTTTAGAGATTGTTGGATTTCATATTGTCAAATAGTTTATGGATTTTCATATTAAGCGCGTCAATATGTTGATGCAGTAATTCAATTAGATGTGATAAAGTTGATGTGTTTATACCTTTAAACACATTTTTTCACACAATTTCTAATCCCGCAGCAACGCGCGGGCAAAACTTTCTAGTAATTACTAATTCAAAAAAAGGCTAAAACGCGTTTAGGTATATGCGGTGTAGCCCAGTCGCACAATATATAAAAAGGGCTAGCTTAGCTAATAGCTACGGAACGAAGGAGCCAAACTTCATATCTCAAGTAATTAAAATGGTTCACAAGGCCTGCAGCGTTTACATGATCCCCTTCTTTCTATTGCTACTGTTCTCATCAGAATTAGTCTTTGCCAATGTTTCTGAAGATCCAATACACAGTTACTCTCTCTCTTTCTCTTTCTCTCCCCTCTCTCTCTCTCATGCACGTATTGAATTCTAGTTTAGGTCTGATAACTATTTCATTTGCGATTTTTTTAAATGAAAATTAAAGCTACTTTTTTTATATTTAAAATTCGTCTTGATTTCTATTTTTTGTTTTTAATTTTTAGTTCTCAAACAAATTAAAAAAATAAAAATAAAAACTAGAAAAGTGAAAAGGTAACCAGCCTTTAACATCTATATATGTCAACTGATAACGGAAGTTTCTTCTTATCATTGCATATGATGCAGGGAAGATGATGATTAGGAGGTCGCAGCATCTGCAAATGCAAGTGGAGACCATTTTGGCAAAGAAACGGGCGCAAATAGGCGTACCGATAGTTTCTAACCCACCTGGAATAGGAAAGTAAGTCCCATGAGTCGGCCATCTAGGACCCATCAGGGATCGCCCCGATTGTAAATTTTTTTATTTTTATTATTGAATAAAATATTATTCAAAGTTACATCACGGGAAAGTTTTTCATGTTACATGTTTAAGGAAAGAAAATAAGTCAACGATTCACTTAAGAGTGATTATAGCTAGGATCCTAATGTAATTATCAAGCAATCAGGATGTATTTACCTAGAGTAGACTTCCTTTTACTGTATAAAGCCATGTATGATTCAATATCAAGTCCATAACGTAAGAAATTATATTCATCTGCAAATTCCATTTTCCTTTTAGTTTTCACACTACAAGCATTGGATGATTTAGAGTGGTTTGGTAGAGAAAATTTTCACGGCTTGATATACTAAATGACATAATATAATTGGTTAGATTTTTTTTTTTTAATGTTTCCAACCAAGTGTATTATTACAGCTTTCTACCAGACCGTGTTCTCGACACACTAAAAAATGTCTCGGTCTCGTGAATCCATACCCCATCCAATGCTTGTAGCATAGATGTGGAACCCTTACATTACATCATAACAAGTATGGCAGTTATTTCGTTCTCATAAACTTGATAAACAAAGTAACATACTATTTTCGTATTCAGTTCATGCGTGTTAGGGTTGTTCTCATTTTTATGCCCTCTACTTTTTATTCAAGCAATTGCTCATCTACTTTATCTGTTCGTTAAATTTCAGATGTTTTCAAACTTTTATGCTTCAAATATTTTTAACACTTTCAAGACATCAGCAACTAACCAAAGTTTCTTGATGTTTATATTTTTGGTTCCAGAATTAACTGAGTTTTAATTAGTATATCTAAGCAGCACCATTGATGTATGGTAAGCGGTTTGATTATATATAAACTACTGGAAGAGGTGTATGAGAGTGAGTGGCGACGTTAATTACTAAATTAATCATGACTTTAATTCATTGCATTTATCATGATAAATCTGCATTTTAGGGGAGAAAGTGAGAATGATGTCGAGTTTCAGATGACAATGGAAGAAATAAGCCAAAAAAAGGTCGCACGCTCTTTGCTACTGTTTATGTATCACTTAATGGGTTATGTATAAAGGGAAATATTTCTTCATTTTTAGGGGAGAAAGTGCTAGCAACAGTTGCAGAAATATTTCTATTTGAACATTTTCACTACTTCAAATATCACGTGTCATTTTTTTGACAAAAAATGAAGACCTTTAATGCTTTTGGTTAAAAATTGATTGTTGCTCGCACTCAGAAAGGCCGATGCCAAAGAAGTGCTGAATTTGTGAATTCTTGAATGCATTGTGTGAATTTGTAAGAGGGTTTCCTGTGCATTTGTGAAAAGTATATTGAATTGTTGAAGGTATGGCGTTCAGTTCTGTTAAAATTGAGTCTTTTGGGTATGATTACTATCAAACTACAAGAAGATAACTTTGTAAAGTCCCCTTCAGTTTAAGTCGGTTCTTAAGGTACCGTTTGGTACGTGGGAAGGGACGGAATAGAGTGGGACATGGCGTTTCGTCCCACGTTTGGTGCGCCTAAAACGGGTGGAACGAGCTGTTCCATGGGACGAGTTTTGGGTGAATTTTTGTTCCACCTCACCCCCCTGGAACGACTCGTTCCACATCCGTGGAACACAAAATTATAACCTCTCCGTCTCCTTCTTCTTCCTCCTTGTTTTCATCCGAGGGCATCTTTGCTCCTGCTCTGTTTTGTTCCGTCCTGTCCCGTCCCGTCCCGTCTGCATACCAAACAATACCTAAGGGATTTGATCTTTTTGATTTGTTTAATGGGGAATCTCAGTGTCCATCAAAGTTTATCATTACGCTTCATGCTGGTGTGACAAAAGAAATTACTATAGCCTATAAGGAATTGGTCAAGAAAAATGTTTCCTTGTTTAGTTTGTTAATTGCAACACTTTCGGATGAAGTTATGGATCATGTCATTGGCTGCAAGAATTCACATGAAGCATGGAAAGGTTTGGAAGAGAGATATGCATCTATCTCAATTGTGAGAATCAATCAACTCAAGACTGAATTTCATACTGCACAAAAGGGGGCTGATTCAGTGGACAAATTGCTTAGGTTGCAGCGTATTAGAGACCAATTAATTGTTGCAAGAGAAAATATCACTCAAAATGATTTGGTGGTTGCTGCTTTATCTGAATTGCCAATAAAATTTGAGATGATCAAGACAGTAATTCTTTCAAGGGAAACTCCAATTTCATTGAAAGATTTCAGGGCCCATCTTCTTGGTGTTGAGGGAAGTATTAAATCAAAACTCAATACCTTGTCTAACTCAATGTCTGCAAAGTTTGTTCAAGGAAGTTCTTCAGGTTCACAAAGTTAAGGAGGCTACCAAGGTTATGAACAAGGTGAAAGCTCAAATACTCAAAGAAATCAAGGGGGAAATGGTTTCAATGGAGGATCTAGCTATGGAAGTAATGGTGGAAATACCTTTAATTCACAACAAAGGTCTAACTACAACAATAGGAGGTTCTCTGGTGGAAACAAGGGCTTAACAAACTTGGGAATTGGTACCACCACCAGATGATAGATCCATTATTAGCAGCAAATGGGTATACAAACTCAAAACGAATCCAGATGGTACTATGTCAAGGCCTAAAGCTAGGCTAGTGGCACAAGGGTTCTCTCAAGAACAAGGGATTGATTATTCAAAAACCTTTAGTCTTGTTGTGAAACACACCACAATAAGAATACTATTGGCATTTGCTGCAATCAAATATTGGGATTTAAGACAACTAGACATCAAAAATGCATTTTTGCATGGTGAATTCAGGAAGACATTTACATGAAACAACCTCAGGGTTTTGTGGATATGATTAATCCATCCGATGTATGCAAACTTATCAAGTCTCTATATGGACTTAAACAAGCTCCAAGAGCTTGGAACTCCAAATTCACAAGCTACCTACCTGCAATGGGATTTAAAGCTTCAACATCTTATTCAAGTTTATTTGTCAAATAGTGTGGTGGTGCAATGTTATCATACTACTGTTACATGTAGATGATATTATAATAACTGGTTCTAATTCAAGGAAGGTGCAAAATGTCGTCACAGAGTTATCTGAGGTGTTTGAACTCAAAGATATGGGCAGGTTAACATACTTTCTTGGGTTGCAAGTCAATTACAAGAAAAATGATGATATTTGTGTAAATCAATCTAAGTACATCAGAGATCTTCTTCATAAAGCTGGAATGGAATCTTGTAAGCCAACATCAACACCATGTAAGCCACACAGTCCAATGCTAGTAACTGAAGGAGAATTGTTGACCGATCCTAGTTTGTATAGAAGTATTGTAAGATCTCTGCAATATCTAACCTTTACAAGGCCAGATATTGCATATGCAGTAAATTATGAACGTTAGTTCATGGCTTCACCTACAGGGGTACATTTTGGCGCATTTAAAAGGATTTTAAGGTTTCTAAAAGGAACTATGCAAAATGGTATAACATTCTCAACTAATACAGAAGTGGGAATCACAACATTTAGTGATTCAAATTGGGCTGCAAACTTGAACACAAGGAGGTCAGTCATTGATTATGTAGTCTACATTGGGAATAAACCAGTGTCTTGGTAGTCAAAGAAGCAGGATTCAGTTTCAAGGAGTTCTACATAAGCTGAGTATAAGGCATTAGCCTACAATGTAGTTGATGTAGCATAGATACAAAATGTTTTAAAAGATATGGCTGATGTGCTACCTTTTCCACTGTGATATATTGTGATAATAAGTCTGCCATTTGACACGCCCCAATCCAGATGTCCATGAGACATCGGGATGCTCACGTGCTGGTCGACACCCGAGGGTGACGAAAACCATTTAATTAATGCATAAGCTGATAACATAGAAAACATGCATATAAATTTTGTTTGAAAACTAATATAATAAAGTAATATTCAACTGTCAACAATGAAAAAACATAATGATAATGCATGACATGTTCAGAGCATAATCTAATTCAGAATACAACGGAAGATGTTATTACAATGATGTCAAAGTAGAAGAGATGGCACGATGTCACTGGTAGGGGAATGCCTCGTAGCTCGGGCTGTAATCCTCGTTTCTATGTCCTAAGGGGGTGAAAAACAAACAAGAGTG